TCAATAAAACTGGTCGAATGTTACAATACAAAGCCCAATGATTTTGTCACCATTTTCTTAAAACCACTTCTCTGCATCTGTGTCTCACATTTTAATAAAGTTAAGTATCTGTTGAATAGCTTTCATTTGATTAACTATGGAAAGCTAGTGATTATTTTTTCAGTAGAAATATTTTTGAGTTCATGAATTCAGTTGTGACATGTATTTCCTTTTAGGGCCACATATCCAGGAAAGCCAGCTTCTTTGAGTTAACTGTACAAGTCACAGATGATTATATGTGGTTTGCTTTGCGTATATGACTGATATGATTATGTATTTTTTACAAGAAATGAGTTATCTTGTAAATATACTTTTAAGAAAGTAAATTTGTAAGAAAAATATTTTCCTCTTAAAAGCCAAGTAACTTGATTAGCTTCCAGAAACTTAAGATGATAACTATTTATCTATCTTACCTATATCTAAAAAAGTATATGAAAATATAAAACTTTATTACAGTATCATAAAAGGGGGTAATTTTATTCTGAAGCATATAATTTTTATATATATAAATTCATCTAATTTAATGTCTTCTTTTAAAGCATTTTAAAGTATGTTATTTAATCTTTTATGCAGATCATTCCTTTTTCTGAAGCCAGAAGACAGGGACTATCAAATGAGTGAAGGAATTGACTTTGAAGAAATTATAAAAAATGACGGAGCTCTTCTAAAGAAGAAATGTCGATCTGTAAACCCTTCTAAGAAATCATTTCTCATTAATATTGTCCCAGAAAAAGATAATTTAACATCTCTGTCAGTGTATTCAGAAGATGGTTGGGACTTACCATACATAATACATTTATGGCCACCTATCCTACTCAGAAATCTTCTTCCTTACAAAATTGCTTATTATACAGAGGTATTGTGGGATTTTTTTAGTGCCTTCCTGTCTTTGATTTTATAGTTTTATTTTAATAGTTATTTGTTATAGTTGCCGAAAACTATAGGGAAAAAAAGGGATCAATGATTGACTCCTGGGTGAGATACATGAAGTACAGGTAAAATACAGTTATGTGGTAGAGGTGCAGGGCAATCTAAGTGTAAAGAATCGCATGAAATAAGATAAGCAACTATGAAAGCATAGGATTTTTGTATAGTGATACCAAGAGTAGTTGAGATTTTATTGGAATGTAGAGAATGTGTTGGAAGATAAAATCTGGAAGATAATTTAAGTTTTCAGTTAGATTGCTGCGCCCTCATTTTCTTGTTCCATTTTTATAAATTTTATCTCCATCTGTTAATATCTGTTGTTTTCTTCTTGTCTCAGAACATTTGACTTTCTTCTAAGATCATGCATTCTACCATCTCTTCTCATTTAGAACCTCCTACTATTGGTTCTTTCTTTTCTGTGTCTTCATTCATTACTTGAACTTTCCTTTAAACCTTTTATATTTCTTAACTCAAGCCTTCTCTTCAGAACACAGCTTTTTGGGAAAATTGTCACCACTGTAAAACAGCCTGCAGTCTGTCTAGAAAGAGCTGATCACACTCTCATGCCCTCAGCCTACTGCATACATGTGGTTTTTGGTTACCTTTCACAATACAGTAGTTATCTCTTAACATTACATTTCCCATCTGGTTGTGATCTCCTTGAAAGTAAAAAATTTCTTACTTGTGTATTTTCAGGTTTGCCTTCTCATTGGTACATAATGAATCCAATAAATGTTTTGGTAACTGGATGAGTATATTGGCATTAATTTAATTTGAAGAAAATTAAGTTTTTAATCTTTGAGTGTTAGAAGTAAGAATGGAAAGGAGAATGAAAATTATAGAAAGAATGTAGAAGTAGAATAGGCAAAATCTGGTAACTGATTTGACAAATAATTATTTGTGTGGGCCAGGGAAGAAGGAAGACTCTAATCTTATTTATTTATTT